ACTCTTTCCTATAATTTCTTACCAGTTAACCTCTTGCTTCTATAAAAGCAACTTTACCATCCTGACTTCTGATTTTGTTTAGCTTTTGTTATCTTTACTATGGGCAATGCTATCTTTACTAAACTTGTCCCACTAAAAGACTGATGAACCTTTTAATGTGATCAAAAGTTTTAGGTTAAAAATGTCCCCTGTCTACTCTGAGATGTTTTGGGTGAGATTTAGGAGGAAATGAGGGAATAGGCCTCTTGAAGATAAAGGGGGAGGACTAATAAATTAGTTAGGGGGAGGAAGAAGTGTGAATGGTTCAAAGAAGATATGTAATAGCTTTTTGCTCAGAAGCCTTAGTTCTGTGCACTTTGGAGCAGATATATGTGAAATTTCTTGGAGGTAAAGAAACTGTTACCACCATATGACATATTGTCCCAGGGAAAAATCTGTATTTAATTAAAAACAAGCAATCAAAAAAATCCCCGCTTTGATATGTCAGTACTATAGTGTGAGAATGTAAGTCCTAATATCAGTACTTGAAGTTAAGATCAATTCTGTAATGGAAGTACTAGGGAGGGAGTGTTTCCAGTGCAAAGCTGAGCTCTGTGATGGAGTTCTCTGTATCTTTTTGTAAGTATTCAGGTGTTATTAATTCTGCATTGTTGCCTGAAAATTTGAGATTCCCTAAACAGCTGAGTTCTTACTGACTTCAGAGGAACCTGTTGTGCAAAACTTCTTATTCTGCCTGTTGGAGGCAAACAGATCATAATGGCACATGATCTTTGTTACAACTCTAAAATCTACCTTTCTTGCCTGTTTTTTTCAGTACTCTCCTTATAGGTATCAGAATTGTTTTCTAGCCAGACCCTCACTTAAAAAAAAACAATCCCAAACCCCAACTACCAAACAACTGGTTTTATTGTTTATCCACATTTCAGGGTGCTTACCATAAGTTAGAATACACAATATACTATAAGGTGGAATATGGAGTTTTTTCCTAACCAGGTGGTTCCTAACTATATAGAAATTTCTGGAAGGGATGGGGTGTTTAGTATCTTAGAATGCCACCTAAATCATCAGTGAGATCTTGGGGATGCTGAGATTTTTTTTGCATAAGCAAAGTGATTAAAGGGATATATTCCTCACTTCAAATTTATCAGAAATTGAGAAAGCTGGTAGTTGTAAAATTGCACTTTGGTTTTAGCCATAACCAAATAAAAGTATGTGAAAGCAGTAACAGATGACCTATTTCTCCTTAAAGAAAAGGGAGGAAAATAAAAAAAAAAAAAGTTTTCAATTCAAAAACTTCAAAACTCAAGTCTTTCCTTGATGAGAACTCTTGTCATGGCAGAGACAGTCAGAATTCAGCACCTTCTGTGATCGGCTAACTATAGCCTCCAATGACTGTATCAAGCAGTGCTGTAACTGTTAACAGTTTATATCAAATTTACATCGTCATTTGATTCCTGTTTGCTATTATTTTCTATTGTATTTTGTCACTGATTCCCATCTTCTGTTCTTTTTATTTAGTGTATGTTATAATATCAGTCTTCTGCTTGGCATCTGCAATGAGTCTGTACAACTGTCTTGCAGCATTAATGGGAGAAATACCATTTGGGCAGTGCAGGTATTGTACAGCTTTCATTTATTATAAATGTGAGGTTTCTTTTGGGTATTTTCTGGTTGTGACTCAAGGTAGTGTGAAAATAGGAGAACAGTTTGACAGATTGTTTCCTGTATGGTTTAGTGTGTGGGATTGTTAAAAAAGAAAATTACAGACTCCTTTAACAGATATTAAAGGTATCCTTAGCATAATTAACAGTTAAAATAGTGTTGTGGGAGACTTACTGCATTACCTTTATTTGAAAGCATTGCTATAATCAAACTTGAAAGGCTCTGCTTGGCCATCTGAGCTTGGTTTTACAAAATTCTGTTTGCCTGTAGGGTGTGCTCACTTTGTTCATCAAGGAACTCTGTAAGGTGGGATCCTGCACATTTGATCCTGTTCTAAGCAAGTATTATGCTATAGGCAATAGAGGTTGGGTTTTTTTAATCTGTACTGTACCTGTGACAGACCATGTTTTAACTTTTTCTTGCAAAGGCAACACATTGCTCATGTCCTCTTTGTTAGAAGTTAGTGGTTACAGTCTTAACTTGGGTGTTAGCAGTGTACAGATAGCCCTTTCTTAGTACTCCAGGTTAAATATCCTGGAGGTATTAGTAAGTATGGGAATGTCCTTGTTTTCCTCCCCTGTATTTTCACTTTAAAAAACCCTAATGTTTAGTGCAACAAATGGTTCTCTTCCTCAAAAGAGCAATGCTTATAAGCTTGGAAGCCTAAGATTATGTTTGCAAGTTACTTAGTACAGAATATTGGTGCCAGGTGATCCGGTAGCCCATCAAGGGTAGAAATCAAGTAGAAAAGACAGCAGGTTTTCTGTAAGCTGCAGGACAGGCATTACTTATCTCGGTTAATATCAGTTCAAGAACTGTCCCAAAAGATTGAGTAGGAAGTGGAAACAGATATTTCGCTCACAATTTTGCAGTACATAGTTATTCCACTTTTAATCTTGTATTACATGTCCTAAAATTGGTTTTCCTCATCACCACACCTTTCTAGAATTATGATGTGACTGTCTCTCACTGCAGTTCTGTTGGCATAATTGTTACATGTCAGAAATGGATTAAATACATTAATCTGCTTGCTCCCTTCCCTGGATGTGTTTGCTAAAATGAGGATTTGCCATCAAAGTGTGGGCATGTTTTTAATGCAGCCCAGGGGAGAACTGGTACTGTAGTTGCAAGAATAATGCCACCTGAGTTTGGACAGAACAAATGGGCAAAGGAGAAGTTCTCAGGATGAGAACACTTTGTCAACTTAAGGACCCGCGATAGCACAGGCATGTGTTTTGGCTGTTGCAGGCTTCCTTTTTTATTTTATTTTCTTTTAGGATTGCATGTTGCAACAAAAACATTGAAGTGAGGCTTATTTTTCTTGCTGTATTCTGCATAGCAGCAGCTGTTGTCTGGGCAGTGTTTCGAAATGAAGATAGGTAAGTGATGCTTTCTGACTTAAAAGAGTAATATGAATAATTGTTATTAATGAACTTCCCATTGTATAACTAATCCTGGAGCATAACATCCTTCTAAACTCCAGTGTCGATTTTAAAAAAAAAAAAAGTCATGAAAATACTTGTGAAGCTTAACAAGCATGGGAATAATAGAGAACAAAGCTATACAAATGAACTGTGTGGTAATTTGAAGTTACAAAAATTACAAAGATGAGGGAGAACTAGTTTGATTGCTAATGATTGCCACAGAATTAAAAAAAAAAAAAAGTGCAGAAATAGCATAGGAGCTGTAGGATCTGTGCTTCCTATGGTCCAGTGGAAGCACATGACCACAAATACACAAATATTATAGTACAATCCCAAGTAGCATCTTGAGCCAGATGTTTAGTAGGGCTTCCAGTCAAGTGAGCAGTCGTGCAATTGAATACCAAGGCCCTGTTATGGCCTCTGTTCAGCCTATCGTACACTGATGAAGAACAGTTACCTATTTATGATCAGAGGCTAGTGTAAAATAACCATCTTGAAACTAGTCTTCTTGTGGTTTTGGTAGCAATACTTCCTAAAAACTAATTTCTTGCTTTCCAATCCATTTTGCAATCTTGCTATTTCCAGCAAAATCTAAAAGCATTATTGCACTCAGATTACAGCAGTAGTTTGAACAATGTCTAAAAATATGTCCTTATTTTTAGGTGGGCTTGGATTTTGCAAGATATTTTGGGAGTTGCTTTCTGCCTAAACTTTATTAAAACGCTGAAAATGCCCAACTTTAAGGTATTGTAAGTCGTTTACCTTTAGGAAAATACTTGAATGCCATGAATCTGTAAGTTTAGTATCAGGAAGTAGGTTTTCAACACTCAAATATTTATTAAAAAAAATCTTTACCGTTTTTTATAAGTATTAAAAGAAATGAAGTCTGTTGTAAATGTTACGCCAGAATAAAAACATGAGGTGGTGATGGGGGCGTGAGGTGGTGGTGTTCTTCCCTTCCCCCCCCCCCCCCCCCCTTTCTTTTTTTTTTTTTTGCAGATGTAGTAAAAAAAAGAACATGGTGGTATAGTCGTGGTACCAGAATCTCACTATGCAGTCCTTGAAACCCTATAGTAATATTTTCTTCTTTTTTTTGCCAGTCCTGTGTGATACTTCTAGGCCTTCTCCTTCTATATGATGTGTTCTTTGTCTTCATAACACCATTTATCACAAAGGTATGTCTGTGAATTAAAAAAAAAAAAAGTTGTCTGGTCATTGGGGCAGTATTTTTGTCAAACAGACTAGTGTTTTCAGTATTGTCAATGCAGAAATGCTGACTTCCTTTTCTTTTTTCCCGTTTAAGACAGCAGTGGCCTAAATTTTTATCTTGTATGGGCTGTAGAGCATAATGCTTGTGTAGGTGCCATAAATCACAGAATCATTATGGTTGGAAG